AAAGACTTATTGTTCACGAACAAGGAATAAAACAGTACCTGCAGTTTTTCACGCGCCCACTCCGAGTGATCGCTGTAATCTCTATCGACACCTTCGTTTGCAGAACGATACTCTGACCATAACAACTTGAGGTGGTCAATTTTAAAATAAAGGCCGTCCATATTTACAACGAATATAGGATTATAGATAATAAATAAAGAAAAGAAAAAATTTGGTCGTAAAAGGTTTCAAAAGATACTTATATCCTTTTGTTCAAAATTGATATTTAAACAAGGAGATAAAATATAAAGATATTCACACGAAGAATGTTATTCGCATGAAAATGAAAACCCAAATTGGAATTGTTTCTTATAAAAATTTCAAGAGACGAATTCTAAGGGGTACACAAGATTTTAACGAATTAGGAGATGTTCGAATAAGAAACGTTCCTTCCAAAAATTAAATATACTTGCAGCCCGTCAAAAATAAAAAAGATCAGTAGATAAAAAACCAACGGAAATTTATTTTTTTATGTGTATGGAAAGGATTTGCCAATTTCATAATATATATATCATATATAATAAAATACTATAGTAAGTATATTTTCTACGTATATATTAATAATATAATAAAACATCTAGAAAAAACTAGTTTTAAACTCATTGCGTGTGAAACTTTTTTTTCCACGCTTGACGATTCAAGCCTAGATTAAGATGTGAATAAATACCATGCATATAATAAATAATTAAACATAACTAAAAGCTATATTTTTTAATATTACAGTATTAAATATTCTGACAAAGATTGTTACTATACTACGCCACAAACAATAGAAAGGTAGCACGGAACAATTAACATTGTTAAAAAAAATTTGACACAAGGACATAAAGGAGAAAACATACGTATAACGATAAACGAAAATCATTCAATTTAAACACAATATCCGAGCTGCGTACCAGGTACTGTACTGTACATACGTACTGTACGTACTTATGTATATCTTGCCTAACCTTCACTTGTGATAACATCATTTACCTTAAAGTCACTAACCGAATAACAATTTACGCCTTTTTTCTCTTTGTTCTTAATCTATCGGCATTACTCGGAGGTGCTACTAACTAAATATACCCGTAGAAAACTTGTTTAAGCTTTGCTGCGCAATCTTTAAAATGATTCGGCCACCTCGCATGATCTTCTAAAGTTTCATATTGACGTAGTGCAATGACGTTTGCTTACCCAAAGAATGTAGAATAACAAGTAATGCTACTTGCATGTTGGACTTTGTTGCTTTCTAATTATGGATAAATCGGTAGTTCGCGTGAAAAACTGCAGGTACTGTTTTATTCCTTGTTCGTGAACAATAAGTCTTTTCTTGATTGTTTGATCTCGTAGCTTTTTAGTTATGCTATGTTATTGTAAAACTTAGGCAGTATTAACAGAGTTTGACAAGCTTATCCAAGAACAAATTCTTTGGAAATCAGCTCTTTCGGCTGAAATAGATGACTTACTGGTATTTCTAACTTTTATGTATTTAAGTAATCTATCGTGATTTTTTATTATTTATTGCTGACATAATCCTTTTTTTTTATTTTTAGGTGGAGATAGAAGACTGCTGTCAAATATTTGGCCGGAGAGTGGATACCATTATACCGAAAGCCGCTGCATTGAATGTTGAACTAAATGATACAACACGTGACAATCTAAGGTCCATCCGAGACTCGTTACGAGAAGTATGTGTACCTCAAAAATTCGGAATTTTTTGAGGTTATTGGCTAATCAGATCTTTGCCTTTTTAGGAAATAAACCTTACTCAAACAAACGTTAAGAAATGGTTAGCTGACCTTAAAACCTTTGTTATAGAATTGGAGGATGACTATAAAGTTCCATCAGAAGAAGTAATTAAGAATTCGATATTCATTTCATAATAGAATATATGTTATTATCTACGTATTAATCACTAAAAAATATGTAGATTTTTGAAAATGATCTAAGTACTTCCGTAGTTCTACCGGTTTGTATATATATACATTATTTTGTTATAATATTGATGGAAATGTTTTTATCTAATAATATATAGCTAATTATTCTATACATATTTACATATAGTTAAAATGTAAATACGATGAATTGGTTCATGATGTGGTAGGCCGACGTGACGCTTTTGAAGAGTCTGCAATCAAACTACATTATTATTGGGATGCGCTTCAGCATATTCCCCAAGATGAAATAGATGAAGCATTATTCGATTTATTTAGTGATAAACAAAATCCAAAAGAAATTTATGAGGCATTACAGGCTTCTGAAAATAAGAACATTAATAATGATGATGATGATCAACAAAAAATTTTTGATACACAACGTGAATATGTATATTACACCATTCAACTTCCAAATGGATTAAAATTATCTCCAGAATGTTTAGCTGCTCTCAAAGAAAAATTAGTAACTTTTGGAAAAGATTATGAAATTCGTAAAAATAAAATGACTGCCATGCAAAAAGATATAAAGAGCCTATATAAAGAATTGAATACTCCTTTGGAAGAAAGAATTGAGTTGATCGATTCTCTTGATGAAGAATACTTGGAACGGGTTAGCTTTCTCCTTAAAATGTCATTTATTCTATTAAATTATTTATAAGTTATTAATTTTTTTATTTATCTATTTATTTAGCTGTCTTTGGAACGTGAACGCTTAAAAGAAATCATGCGTGTCATCATTGAGAAAGCTATCGAAGAGGTATGAAAGTTTTAAATACATTTAATAATTTTTTTATATTTCGTATTTTTTTTGTTACTTTTATTAAAGTTTATATATTTTTTCAGTATACTTCTCAATTGGTTGAATTATGGAATAAATGTCTTGTTCCACAATTTGAACGGGATGAATTCTTTGCCAACGTACACAAACGTGAGTTTATTTCAAATATATTATATATATTATGTTAAATTTCGATTATCGATTTTTTTTTTATAACTTTTTATTTATATTATTATTACAGTTGCTTCTGCGGAAGATGTTTACGAATTACTTGCTCATGAAGTTGCACGCTTACAAGAACTTTATGCTAAATGTGCAAATATATACAAACTGATGTTAGAAAGACGTGCATTGATTGAGGTAGAATTGATAAAGTGTTATAATAATTAATATATATACTTTTTTTTACTGACCAAATCTTTCATTAGAAAATGACAGAGTTTGAGAAAAAGGCGTCAGACCCACGTCGTCTCTTTCAAAGCTCTTTCCGTTTATTGGAAGAAGAAAAATGGCGAAAATCATGCTGGCCTAATTTGGTCAGGATTGAAAAACAATTAATTAATGCGTGCATCACTTACGAAGAGAGTAAGTTTCATTACACACGCTCAAAAATTATTATGTAATTTCAGTATTGGTTTAACATCATTCAATTTGATTTTCTAGCTGAAAGAAAACCATTTATGCACGAGAGTATGCGATACTTGACCACTTTGGTATGTTAAATATTATTTGTCATGTTTAGCATTATTTGTCATGTTTAGCATGTTCATATTGTGTTAAAAAAAAAAATTTTTTTCATCAATTACAATAGCAATCTGAGATATCTGAACGTATTGTCAATCAAATGTTCTTTGGTTTTGAAAAGGATGCTGCCAAAGGTCAAAGTGCCGATCAAAATCAGGGAAGTCTTAAACGCAAGGATAGTCAGCTCACACTTAAAACTGCGCCGAGTCGACCCGTGTCACCAAGTGCTCTAAATGATCATTCATCGCGCAGAAACAGTCAGTTGATACGACCTTCTCAGAGCAGGCCAGTATCTCCCACCCGAAGAAATTCCAGAGCACCTAGTCGACCAGTATCTCCAACTCGGAGAAATTCCAAAGCACCTAGTCGACCAGTATCTCCAACTCGAAGAAATTCCAGAGCACCCAGTCGGCCAGTATCTCCCACTCGAAGAAATTCCATAGCACCTAGTCGGCCAGTATCTCCCACTCGAAGAAATTCCATAGCACCTAGTCGGCCAGCATCTCCAACTCGAAGAAATTCCAAAGCACCTAGTCGACCAGTATCTCCAACTCGAAGAAATTCCAGAGCACCTAGTCGGCCAGTATCTCCCACTCGAAGAAATTCCAGAGCACCTAGTCGGCCAGTATCTCCCACTCGAAGAAATTCCAGAGCACAAGTTTCACCGTCAAATTCTAAAGCTCCATCGCGTGCCGGATCTCCCGTGAGATCAAAACGTAGTAGTTTATACCTGTCGAGTTCAAGTGACTCTAGGGTGTTCATCAGACATAAAATCAAACCATAAGTAGCGTAATATGCACTAATTACTATTTGGAGATTTTTTATGAAAATCCGAAATTACTGCGGCTAATAGTAACTTTCGGTACAGTTTTCTTTTGAACTAATATAATAATTGCCAGTTTAATTTTTTTAAAAAGACATATTAACTTGCTTAGAATAATTTAATGAAGGTATTTTTTCGATTATTCCATTTATGAGTAGCGAATTCTTTGACAAAGTTTACTCGATTGTAACAAACAATGTGTCAATTAAAATTCATAAATTGTCGACAAGAGAAAGATAAAAGCTACAAATTAAAAAAAAAATATAAAAATTTTGTATTCAAAAAAAGGATCTTTGTAAGTCGTATTAAAAATTTTTTACCATAATAACCTATAAATTAGAACTTAAAACAATGCCACGATTCAAAAAAAATTTCAAACAACGGCAGCATTTGAAAAATGCACTTAACAAAAATTTTATAAAAAAGAAAATAATG